ATTAATTTGATAATTCATTTCAGTTTCATTTAAAATAATTAATTTTTAAAATTATTTAATAAAAAATAAATCTAAGAATAAGCATTGCTTGGTTAAAACCGAAACTTTCAATCTCCGTCTTTTCAGTTTAGTTATTTAACTTATTTTAGTTTTTGGCTAATTCAATTTCGATTTCATTTTTCAAGTTTAAAATTTTGGTTAACCAAAACAGAATAATATGTAATATATATTTATTACATGGCCAGTCCCTAAACCTGAACAAAAGGATGAATGTTGCTTAATTTATGTTAGCAGTCAATCTAAAACTTTTTCCGAAGTCTTACGAATGAGTAAATACGTTTTTTTGCGACCTAGGTCGCATAACCCTCAATGAAATGTAAAACACGCCAATGCATTGTTTTCAAAACTGGACCGGATGGTCGGATCAGAAAAATCGGGAATCGGTCAGATGACCAATTTTAGTTTTCCTTAAAATCGGATTTTTCATAAAAACCGTTAATTTTGGTTAGTAAACCGCTGATTTGGGCGATTAATCGTTCAAAAGGTTTTGACCTGTTTTCATTTTTTTATTTTTTGTTAAAACGGGCTGACCGTTCGAATCAAATGATCGAACTATTCGACCCAGTAACCAGACCCCTAACCTATTGGTCCTCGGAAGTGGTTTTAAAAACCATGCGCCAATGTTCTAAATCAAACACCAATTAGTGTGATGTTTTTTTATTTTTTTTTCAAACACCGGCATGTTCACGTTTTATTGAGTGTCTCCAGATTGTCCTGCACCTATAATTATAATTGTGGTCTCCTCTTAACATGATCCTGATTTACACCTATAATTTAGCAATGGATATGGAACTGAATATAATGAAATATAAAAATGTTGCCCGTCAATGGTGTCAAATACATAAATGGTAATAATCAATTAAATAAAACTGAGCATTAAATGCAAGTACCCACGTCCTCTCATTTTATTGAAATTATTTATGATATATTTAAAACTTTATGTTTCATTTAATTTATGATCAAAATCTTTCGGAATCAGAATCAAGAATGGTCTATTCTCATGATCTGTTTGGTTCAAACATGAATGGGAATGAAAATTGGAATAAGCAGGCAATGGAATTTCATTCTCAAGAGAGGGGCAGGGAATGGTCATTCCCTCATATAGGGGAATGTCATTTCAACAGAAATGGGAATGGGGTTCCAATTCTGCTCAATCAAACAGTTGGAGTTGGAATAGCCCATTCTGATTCTGATTCCAAACCTCTATTCCTATGAATCAAATGTAGCCTTAACTCAGTTTAGAAGAGGAGTATAAATATGTAGAGTGCAAAACCTTATATTTTGTATGTGTTTGCACTCTACGTATTTATATTTGTATTTGCATGGGTTCGTTTTTAAACAATTACATTTTTCAGGTAACGGCGGGGCATTTGATTTTTGTTTAAAACAAAAAAAACAAAATCTAAGGTTGCATTTGGATTAATTTTAGGATTTGAATTCCTTACCATACGGCCTCCAGGCCCTCCATCCTCCAAGCTGAAGCTCGTTGCTCTTGGATGTGGGTTCAATCGTGTGGCTTTGGAAGTGCAACGGTGTAAAGGGTAAACGTTAAGAGCATTTTTCTTCTCAAGGTATTTTGGACCTGGGATATACCTTTTTTTTTAGTTTGTAAATAGAAAGCTGAACTCCGGGGGTTGGTTTTGTTTTTTTGAACACAAAAAATAACTGTTATGTCATCGAAAAAATCAAAATACGAACTTTGTTTTTGTTTTCAAAAAACGAAGTTTGCTTTCAAAAACAAAACCATTCATGCATGTTATCGAACACTCCTGGCTTGCTTGATATGCCCAACCGTGCTTAGTCATTGAATCTGAATGAGTAATAAAACATTCCCTGATTACTTTTCCTATACAGTTGTTTTTGATACATACCAGAAATACCTTGAATTCAACACAGGCTTCAAAAACAACTAACTCTCCATGTGTTGTTTTTGTTGTATACCTGTTCCATGGTCCATGATTCCATATTGAACTCACTCTTTTTTTTTTTTTTTGGTTGAGAAAAGCTTAATAATAAAGCAGATTCTCTCAAACCTTTTCGCACTAGCCTATGTACTAAATACACTGTTATAAAAGGACTGCGACTTAGACAGGCCCAATTAAGGGTGTCAATGGATCTGTTTTGGATTGGACTCCATCCAGACCAAAATCAATTTAGACAGACCAACAAGACATATTGGATTGGACCAATTTGGTCAAAAATATTTATTAGATTGGATTGGACCTAGTCCGTAACAAATTTATATTAGATAGGGTTGGATTAAGCCAATATCTAGTCCATTGATATAAGATAAGAATATATGTGTCAATGGACCGGGTTTGTGTTGAAATCAATCCAAATCAAAATGAACTTGAACAGATTGGACGGTCCAGACATTGAATTGGACCAATCCAAATTGGTCCAAACCATTTATTGGATCGGATTGGACATGGTCCATTAATAATGGACTCACATTGGACTGGATCAGATTGGACCAAATCCAGTCCAATTGACATCCCTAGGCCCAACCCAAGCCCAAACCAACCTAATTTGCAATTTTACAAGGGTTGGGCTTGGATTTTCAATCCTCAGGCTAGACCCAGGCCCAAAGTTTGGGCTCTTTTTTTTTCAGGCTGGTAGCTAAATCCCAGCCCAACCTTATCTCAACCCAAGTCAGGCCTAACTACCTATAAACACATATATTAACACATATATGCTTATTTTTTTATTAAACCATATATACATGCATACATATTTACATCAAAATTTAGTATGTGCTGATTGACCAACCCAAGCCGAGCCCATATTGAATGTATCAAATTTAGGAGTGAATTCAAATTGAGCCCAACTAAATATTAGACTATTTGAACTTGACTCGGCAGAAAACTATAGGGCTTGAGCTCAATTTGAGTAGAAATGCTAGTTTAAGTTCAACTCAACTCAAAAACTCATATGTTTGAACTTGAACCCAAGTTTTATTGGAATTTGGACTCGAATATCAGATTGGCTCAGCACAAATCAAACTTTTGTTAAGCTGAGCTCAAATAGCTCAAAGGAAAAAAAAAAAAAACTCGATTCATGTCTACCTCTAATCAAATTTCAGTGCTGGCTAGGCTTGAATTGGGCAGTTTGGGCTTAATCTTGATTTTTCATAATATATCCTTATCTTAATAAAAGTGAGAGTACAATAATAAATTACTTATATATTAATAAATCAAGTGTTTTACTGTTTTAACTAAAATTATGTTACATATTATCTATCGAATTTGTTCATTTTATATATAAAATATAATAAAAATTAGGAAACCTTTATCTATATCTACATGTAAAGTGGATACTTGACTTTGCTTATCATATTGGTAATTTGTATCTTTTATCTCTATTTACAACGCTCACCCTGGTATATTATTGATAAAATAAATAAATAATCGATTTAGATCTGAATTAATTGGAATTTGGAAACAAGCAATATCCATAACAAATCCAATTATCAATCGGGACAACCCATTGACAACACTACCCAACTCGCATGAATACTAAAAAAAGAGAAGACTTAAGCAATCTTGTTTTAATTCATATAATCAAAGGGTGGAGAATTTATGTCAAATGTCCAATCGCACATAATATCTATTAATAATGTTCAAATCAATCTCTCACTCATGATCCAATGAGACCCATTAAATGGAATTCAGATCTGCGCTTCACAACGTCTCACAGTAGGGTTGTTCACGAGTCGGGTTGGGTCGATTTACAGAGGTTTTCCCAACCGACCCGACCTGGTCGGGTTACATGAGGTGGAAATCGAAATCGACCTGTTGATAGGTAAAACCGACCTAGTCGGTTTAAGTCAGGTTGGGTCGGTTTCGGTTTTGCTCCTGTACAAAAATGATAGAGAAGCCTAGAACTAGAAGGACACCTAATTCTAATTGTAATTGCCTAATGGGTTGCCTATTTGGTGTAAAAGACTATAAAAATTAGGATAGATACAATTTAGTTAAGTAGGAACTAGAAGATAGGGCTGTTCTAGTTCTAGTAGAAGACTAGTTAAGTAGTAAACTAGGAACTATCGAACTAAAAAACTAATTGGTTCGGTTTGGTTTGGGTCGGTTTCGGTTTTCACATAAAAAAATCGAAACCGACCCGATATATCAGTTTATGATTTTGCCCAACCCGAAACCGATCGATGCTGATGAAAACCCGACCGACTCGGATTGGGTCGGTTCGGGTTGGTCGGGTTGAGCCTTCTCATGAACAGCCCTATCTCATAGCACATTTCTACTATCTATTAAAAAATATCTCCCAATGATAGTATCAAAAATGATGATATTGTCATTGGGAGATGTTCCCAATACAGGGTAAAGATGTGCTATGGAACCTAATGGGGCGCAGATGTGAACTCCATTAAATGGTGGTCCCTGGCTTTTGAATGTTGAACCATGGGATTTTATTTATTTATTTTGGTAATTGATGGCAGCAAATTATGGGCGCACAGTTCCGGACCCATATATGAGAGTTCTCATAAAGGTGATGCTAGAGTTGTTCGATTGGAATCGTTTGGAACAGAGTGGGGATCATTATTAAAACCCCAAGGCCAATCACCAAAGTCGAAAGATAACAGCGCAGCCCAAGAGGCCAAGAGGACACCACCATCACCGTAGGATTATTTCATCGTCTCAAATATTCTACCCACTCCAAGGTGAGGCCTCAGGATAATGAGGATGAGGATGATCAAAATTCAAAATAACCCTTGCAAAATGAATTCACATTGGTGCCCCACTGAGCGCACCCAACTCGCACCCCAGATGCAACATCTCACCGTGCATTAGGATCATCTCCCATACCGGTCATGGGGAGATGTTTTCTCTACACGGTTGGGATGTTCTGTAGGGCGCGTGTGGGGCGCTGATGTGAATTCTTCCAAAATGACCAAGATATCCTTTCTTATGTAAACGGTAGACCGAGAGCACCTGACCATGAGATGAGATAGCACTGAAACTAGCGAAGGCTGATCTGCCCATGCCCGGAAACCCTAACCAGTTCAGAGTTCACCTCAACCAAAACAACAAGGACGATGAACTGAACCCTAAGCTTGCAATACCATCCCTGTTTGATTGTCACGTCCAATTCTCATGAAAGCTCCGCATCAGACTCAGGGATAGATTGACAGACAAAGTTGAGCTTGTCGTCGACAATGGCGATGCTGTTTAGAAGCAGGACCTTCGTTAAAACCCTAATTCCTAACTCCTTCAGAACGATCTCCACCTTCACCTTCCTCTGCCAGGAACCTCAACTTGCAGAACCCTCAATCCCGGATTCGACTCCATTGCCTCCAAACCCCTCATCAGGCAGCCCCATGTACCAGCAGAACTGGAGGAACCCCATACAAACTCCTTTACCGGGTCAGTCACTCGTCCCTCTTGGCTTCCTTCATCAAACACCGTCTGCGAAGATTCAATCTTTATCTCGGACGCTCGATGTTCAGAGCCTCATGAACGTTTTTGCTGATTGGATGACTTCACGGCGATGGGCTGACATGAAACAATTGTTTGAGTTCTGGATAAAGTCTCTCGACAAGAATGGAAAGCCGAACAGGCCCGACGTTAACTTGTACAATCACTACTTGAGGGCGAACTTGGAAAATGGTGCAACTGCAGGGGAGCTCCTTGATCTGGTGGCACAAATGGAAGATTATATGATTACACCGAACACAGCATCGTTTAATCTGGTATTGAAGGCTATGTATCAAGCGAAGGAGACTGAGGCAGCAGAGAAATTGCTTGAACGGTATGAACTATGCAATGAATCTTTTTCTGGTATTTTATTCTACTTGAACTTTTGTTATTTCTGTTCTCACTTCTCACCACTAAATGCATGTTGCGTATGCTATTTACTAAATACTACTAAAAAAGGTGCTTTTTTAATCACATGATTAACCTTCTGGCTTTTTACCAGATTCATTTTCTTCTCTAGACTGGACAACGGAATGCCCTGTTTAATTCCCTGTTGTTTTAAGCTATATTTCCTTTAAAATGTCCGATCTCATTCAGAACTGATTAGTTATACTTGTCTTTAGGCTTGTTCGTCATATTGCGACCTTGAATTAGTCTAGCATACGTTTGTCTTTGGTTCTTCCCACTTGTATTAACTCGACTATTCAAGTTTTCACCTAAGTCTTGTCTTACTGAGGTCATCTATGTGAATCATTGTCAATGTTTCAGACTCGTCTAATAGGTCTATTGCCTACTTTCGAACATTGTCTGGTCATTATTTATCAAGTTAAAAAAAAAAAAATTGTCTGGTCATTTGCCTAATTCCCACAGGCAATGCCTTGCCCTCTTTTCTTTGTGTTGGTCTTGGATAGTTATTCATTCATAATGTTGGGTTGGATTTGATTGCTGTATAGAGTTAATTGGAGATGCAAAAATTTTATTTGAAATGTTAGGTCCCTGTATTCCAGATTGAATATATATATTTTTATTGCACACTAAGGTCAGTAAACAGTAGTCATCTCTTTATTGGACAGTGGAGTTCAGAGAGATGGACCTTTTCTAGGCCTTCTAATTTGTTGCAGGCTTGCAGTGTACTTCCACACATCAACATATATAGAAAAGAGAAATTTCTATAGAACATTACCAATCAGACTTGTCTAATTGGTCTATTGCCTACCTTCGAACATTATCTGGTCATTTGCCTAATTCCCACAGGCAAGGCCTTGCAGAACAGTTAAGGTTTAAGGGCTTCTTCCTACCACTGCACTTGATTTGGTTATTATTATTTCATGTGTTTTTTCTTGCCTTTGCTTGTGTCATTCCATTCCATTGTTTTTCTTCATTACAAGGACAGAGTTCTTTGTTGTTAACCCATACTAATATTGATTGCTCTTGTCACATTAATCGTGAAACAGTGAGACATTATTTTTAAGATCATATATGTTAGAATGTGCATTCTTGCCTTGTGATGAATGGATTTTATTGATATCAGGATGCTGCAGACAGGAAAAGAGTCTCTGCCAGATGAAGAAACATACGAATTGGTTACTGGAATGTTGTTTTCAGAGAATCAGATAGATGCTGCCCTAAAATATATAGATATGACTCTAAAATCTGGCTACATGGTATCAATGAGGGTATTTACTGAATGTGTGCGGAGTTGTGGTAATGCAGGAAGGTTGGATACCCTCGCATCCATCATAGAGAGGTGCAAGGTACACTATAGAGTTGCTAATCATTATTATTATTTTTTATTTTATATGTCTGCTTGCTTTTGTATGTTCTTCTTTTTTGGGTTAGTTTCTCCCTTCCATTAATTATCAATTGTTAATGATCAGGCAATGGATCAAAATAAAGCTCTTTGTCCAAGCTGGAACATGTGTAATTACCTTGTGGATGTTGCAATGCAAGCAGATAACAGCAAATTGGCTTTTTATGCTTTGGAGTTTCTAGCTAAATGGATTGCTCGTGGAGAGAATGCAAGGCCACCTGTTCTTCTCTCTGTTGATGAAGGAGTGGTTGTTTCAGCGTTAGGAACTGCCAGTAGGACCTATGATGCTACTCTTCTAGATGCATCATGGGCTATCCTACGGCGCTCATTGCGTCAAAAGAAGGCACCCAACCCAGAATCTTACCTTGGGAAGATATATGCACATGCATCTTTGGGAAATTTGCAGAAGGCTTTCAGTACTCTGCATGAATTTGAATCTGCTTATGGAAATTCTACTAAAGCTGCAGATCAGGATCTATTCTCTCCATTTACCTCTTTACATCCATTAGTTGTGGCATGCACCAAGAATGGTTTTGAGACCCTGGACTCAGTATGTGCTTGTCTATACTTTCTTCCTCACCTTACCTATAATTCTTTTTTTAAGTTAAAATTGATTACTATCTGTACAAAGTTTTTGTTGTTGTTGTTGTTGTTGTTGTTGTGCATTTAATAAGGAACTTAGTGTACCTTTTTGAAATCTTTTTGAGAATTAGGTTAAGTATGGGATGATTTAGGTGTACTGCATGTTCAAGGTAAATTGCAATCCATGCCTTTTTTTCTGGTTGCAGTGCCTTGGGAACTGCGCTTTGATTTTGGTTTCAGTTTTTGTGTGTGTCACCACAGGTATTAGACAATTGCCATGCAGTCAATTAGTAGTTATCCTTTTTAAATCAGTATTTAATTCTTATCTCTTTATATATGGTGTTATAGAAGAAGCAAAGACAGTCCAATACTATAACTTGTCTACTTTGAGAATGTGCAATTTTCTTTTTCCCCTGTTGATATGAGTTAATCCACCTATAAAATATTAACATAATGAGTTTATGTTGTTATCTTTAAAACAGTCTTAGTGATGCTGTCCTCTCTCTCTCTCTCTCTCACACACACACACAGACAAAAAAAGAAAAAGAAGAGTAGAAGGTTTTTTTGTTTTCCTTCTTTTTTGCATATATCTACTTACTGTTAAAATTGTCAGGTTTATTTCCAATTGGAGAATTTGAGCCATGCAGATCTTCCTTACAAATCTGTTGCTGCTCTTAATTGTATAATATTGGGTTGTGCAAACATATGGGATATTGATCGAGCCTATCAGACTTTTGAGGCCATTGGCAGCATCTATGGCTTGACCCCTGATATCCATTCATATAATGCTTTGATGTATGCATTTGGAAAGCTCAAGAAGGTGGGAAATTTTTAATGCATTTTTGTTGTATTCAATACTCTCTCTCTCTCTCTCTCATACTTTTAGCTGAAACTGTAGAAGTGACCTTCATATTGGCAGACATTTGAAGCTTCAAGGGTGTTTGAGCACTTGACTAGCTTGGGTGTGAAACCAAATGCAACATCATATTCATTGCTGGTTGATGCTCATCTAATTAATCGGGATGCTAAGGCTGCTCTCTCTGTGATTGATGAGATGGTATTGTTCCTCTAGTTCATGTGGAAGCTTGTGTATATATGTATATATTGCACGGGTGCTAACAAGCTAAGGTTTGGTGCTAAAATATCTGGGCAGGTGAATGCAGGTTTTGTACCATCCAAAGAGACATTGAAGAAGGTCAGAAGGCGATGTATGAGAGAATTTGATTATGAGAGTGATGACCAGGTGGAATCCCTGGCTAAGAAATTTAAGATTCGAATGGGTACAGAAAACCGCAGAGACATGCTGTTTAATCTTGAGTACAGCACTGACTACACCTAATAGGTAAATTCTTGCATCAAAGAACATTTTCATCAGGACAGAAGTGTAACTATCCTTGTTAAAGTATCTTGCATTGCATGAATGAAGATTCTTTTGACTTCTGAGGCAGCATTATTCAATTCTGCTTGGGCTGCAAATTATATTTCTGATGCTAAAGTGGCATTTTAACATTCTTTTTAACCCCTATATGGAAGTCTTCTGAATAGTTTTACAAGATAGTGATGCTTTGAGCAATGTTTATCAGACCTAGACCAGATCAGATGGACGAACTATTTGGATGTGAAACCAGCAGCAAAAATGTTTTTTTTGGATTACCTAGTTCTTAGAAATGTTAACTTGGTGGAACTTACTGGATACGTGTTAGATTGTTAATAGGTATTATAACCTATAGTATTTTACTGTTTCAAGTTTAGTTTGATGTAAAATGGCTTTAAAAGATAATCTGGAAGAGAGGAATCATTTGCTATTTTTTATGCTTTTGGATGATTGGACCATTTGACCCATGACCCAGTGACCAAAACAGTTTCACATCCAGTCTGAGTGTGACAAAGTTGCTTAAATTGTTTCTCTGATCGCTGTTTTGGCTTTAGAGATCTTGCCTGTATTTTTTCACATCCTTGTGCTTGTCCCACATGTATGCACAAACTGGAGAACTGATTTCCTTCCTCTATGGATTCTTTTATATGGGATTCCTAACTTTGCTATTTCCAGTAATTGTTTGATCATCTGTAAAGATGCTAATTGCTTTCATTTACAAACTATGGTTGTCTATGCATTTGCAGTGGGTTATTTTGCCATGAGCTCGTCTTCTGTACTGGGACTTCTCAGACTGACGTTTCATTTGACCAATAAGTTTGCTGATCCTTCCTCCTGTTCTCCCGGAACTGCACATCCCTGCTTGTAAATTTCCGTTTGTACTTTATTTTGAGAGAGAGAGAGAGACCCAGAAGGAGGTATCCTAGGTTTGTAACCTCCTATTGCCATTATTTTCCGTCCTTTTGCTTCTCCATTCTTTTTAGGAATATTCGGAGGGAATTGGAGTGTTGGTTAATTGTTATTATCTACTGCCTAGAATTCCATAATCTCGAACTCCTAATGAAAGAAAAGGCCTTGGAAGAAATGCAGATAACTGTGTATGCATCTTTCATCTTACGAAGCTAGAATTGTAGAAAACAGCTTCATGTGGAACTAACTATTCCGGAGTGCCTTTCTTTGCGCAACAAGCACCGGACGGCCTACTATATGCTATGGGGATGGGCAATGGCATAGGAAAGCCAAGAAGGTAGTGCTTCAACAAGAGGAGATTCTGGTATGGGCTCTCACAGTTCAGAATCCAGATGAGACATAATATGTAGGATGAAGTTGACCAAGTTCCATTGGCCTCTTGATCACCAGATTGAGAATTAAACCATCTGGATTGATTCTAAAATAAACCACTCTGCCGGGAGCCTCCTGAAGCTATTAGCTATGGTTATTAGGAATTGGGATCTGCTCCTCACTGAGCGCGTCACACACCGACCTCACAGCCATCTCCCCATGAATAATAAATACAAGATGTGCGGCCAGGACAAGTTGTGAGACGCGCTCTTTTATTGGGCTTAGGTACGTGGTGGTGATAGATAGTTTTACAATAAGCCAACCAACCGGCTAAGTAATAAGGAAGGATGCTTGTCATCCGAGAAGTGCCGCCTTGGATAGTCCACATATAAAACAAAAAAGCGTGATCAGAGAGTCGTGATAATCTCCCTTCTGCACTGTCTCAGCTTTTTGGGTTTTAAACATTAGCTTCATTGGTTTTACATAAGCATCAAAAGTAATGATGTACATTAGGTTTATTGGTTAAGAAGAAAGTAAGAAGACCAAGTAGCAGCATCTTTACTCCATGCAAATGGACCAAATTGTGGTTTCTGACAATCGGCTAACACTTTAAACCAACACTTGCCCTCCTCAAACCCTGTACCCCATCTCACGGTTCTCACCTAAAATACTGTGGCCTTAAGTCGGCAGGGCAGGAGGAGCAAACCAACTTTGACGTTTTATCTCTGGATTATGTTTCAAGCTTTAAATTTATTTCCCAATGTGCTGTTTTTCTTCACAGAGCAGAGTCCTCCATTAGGAATCTCGATCAACTACCCACAAGACACACCAGCTTGTCTTTTGTGGGTAGCAGATCTGGATTCTTCCACTAGCAGGGCTCCATCTTTTCTGGGCTACATACATGCTCGACAAAATTTCTCAGCCTAAAATCATATAAGAAGTGAAGTCCGTGCTATATATTGTCAATGCACTGACAAGAATCCATACTAATGGTAGGTTAAAAACCCACCTCCACTTTCTACCAAGCAGTGTTTTTTAATCATTGTTGACCCGGAGGCCTGGGAACCGTCGAGGCAATTGGTTCCATTTCACCCTTAATCCAGTCCTTGGTGATCAAATCATCAATCCGTTCAACTTGGACAATGATTTTGGCCATTTCTTATTTCTAAGTTGGAACGGTCCATCTATTTGAACCAGATGGTTGAACCACTCCCAGAAGACGGTGGCCAAAGCAGTGTCGATTTTGGGTTAGTTTTTAAAAACTTGCTGCCAAGTATGTCAGGTGATATACTAAACCCACCTCAGCCTAACCCAACCCTACCAATGTCATATTGGATTTTCATTGATGTGAGTACATATCAAACACAACTAATTGGTATAATTGGGTTATAGCTTTTCCTTTTCATTTATATTGGCGGTGTTTGGCATCGATGCTATTTTCTGAGAAAACAGCGCCACATCGATGCCACGTTAGAAAAAAGTGGTGCTTCAGAAAACGACTTCTTATTTGGCATCGTTTTTTCCCCAAAAAAAATGTTGCTCTAGACTATGCCTTGAAAACTAGAATAGTGTGGTCTGAATAAACACCAAAATCAATATTTTCTCATAAAACAGCCTGTTGCTGTGAGTGGTGCAATGATGTGGCATCATCTTGGGCGTTGGATAATGTACACCAATGCTTAAAACGGTTATACAGCACTGGTACCAAACAAAAATAGTGTTGTTTTCCCAGAAAATAGCCTATCTGGTAGCATGGATGCCAAACAAAAAAAAAGGAACAGTTTTCTCAACGGTGCAACAAACCCTCATGGATACAACACCGTTTTCTTAGAAAATATCTCTGTAGTAATGGCATCAATGCCAAACACCTACATTGTTAATGTTAACCTTGTTAGACAGTGTATGCCCTTAACTCCAATCAGATTGATGTACAAATACATTTATTGTAAATGAATAAAATTACATTATTATTTCATGTTGATATTGATATGTTTCTGTTAAATCACCACTTAAACTGGACACTTATGAGACTCATATTAGTTTAAAATGTATTTTGCTATTGGATAGATTTGGGGAGTTTATCTTGCCAAGGATGGCATTGATGTGCTGCAAAAGAAGTTGGGGCAATTTGTCTCAACTACTATGGTTAGAGCCAAAGCACATATAGTGTGTGTTTGGTTGAAACACTAAACCTATACCATTTTCTAGTTATGCCCTAGACCATGGAGATTAATGGGAAAAATTAAAAAGTTACACATAACCCCTAGACTTGATTATGGTACTGCACTAAGTGTCGCATTGGGTTATTTTTTATACGCCAATCAATGAGATCCATTGAGGGTCAAAACCTAGGTATGTTGGGGCAGTTTGAGAATTCACATAAGAGGGTGATCATAGTGATAGGATCGACCCCTTTGTCGGACAAAGTAACTGATAGGGTTTACATTCTCTCTAATGGAAACCTAAACTATCGGCCCCTTTGAGCCCATAGTGATGTACTCAGGAGTTCGCTGCATTTAGTAGTGAATTCAACTAAACCTTGTCACAAAGGTTGGGTCGAACCCATGTGGACTTATGTGAGGTCATTGTGGGGTCCCACGCCATACAAATCAGGCCTAAGTTGGCCATGCAACACCCTTGGGTCATGACCCTTATAGCTGATGGGCCTAAAGCCCATAATTAATATGATTAATTAAGCTGTCCCATGACAGTTTAAGTTGTCATGTGACATGGGACGAATCTGGGTTTGGAAATGGGTATGCAACACACATCCTCTTAAAATGATAAGGCTTATCTCTGTCCAAATCCAAATTAGATTTGGATAGTCTCCTAATTTGATTAGGAGAAGTGCTCCATAAAGAAATAAAAGAAGAAGAGCACAAACTAAACTAGAACACCTCTCAATTATGCTCTCCCTCTCTCTCTCTCTCTCTCTCTCTCTCTCTCTCTCTCTCTCTCTCTCTCTCTNAGAAGAGCACAAACTAAACTAGAACACCTCTCAATTATGCTCTCCCTCTCTCTCTCTCTCTCTCTCTCTCTCTCTCTCTCTCTCTCTCTCTCTCTTTCTCCCTCTCTCTCTTCTTCTTTTGTCTCCCAATAAACCCTAGTTCGACCACAACTATTTTGGGACTGATATAGATCAATTTTCTTCTAATTTTTGCAAGAAAAGTTTAGAGGAAATTCGTGTTCACCTACCCAGTTCAATCCAAGCAGTTGGGTTGCAGTTTTGCTAAAAACTGCATTGCTGAGCCAGTTTCAAGAGTACACTATGCCATCTTTAGTAGATGATGGTTTTAGGTCTGATTTGGGCGTGAACTTCCACCTTGGGATCTGTGTATGTGGCATCCATATCAAGTATACATCTCCCTTTGGTTTATTTCAAATCTAGTCCGGTTCAATGCAAAATTGATTATGAAAAATGCAGTTTTTCGAAACATAGGCAATTCGAGTCCCATAAGGATTAGGAAATTTTTGAAAATTTGCCCAGCCATCTAGCATGGTTTAGCCATCCATATGATGGATTCTAACCCTTCCTTCAAATATATGGTAAGTGTTGTTATGGAATTGGTTTATATACTTTCGATAATAATATGTTACATCTCTCTCTCTCTAGTATTGTTCATGGGGTTGTTCAGGTTGGCTCAGAATTGATTGGTAGGTCATTTTCAATAATTCTACACAATGTTTTCAAAACTGGAACAGACTGGATGGTTAGACCAAAATCTGACCGGTTTCATTTCAGCCCAGAACTGTTTTTTGGCCCAAAACCGTTGATTTGGTCAGTAAACCACTGACCCGGGTGGTTGAACCGTCGACCCGTCAATCCATACAATGGTTTTTGGCCTTTTTTCTTACTTTTTTATTTTTTATCAGAATGGATTATCTGTTTAGTTTGAATAGTCGAACCATTGGACCCAATAACCGGACCCAAAACGGTTCCCTGTCCGATTCGATTTTAAAAAACTTGATTCTACATCATTTAAGTTGTGTTTAGCTACCTGACCCATTCAGACCTTGTTTATCATTGAAAAGAAAGGTAAGGCCACGTACATGTAGGCTGTGTAGCACATGTATTATTCAATGTAGAAGGTTTAGATGATGTTATCCTCCTGCCTACAATTACAAAGTACAAACAATGTATGGACAATGCTAACATACCAAATAGTTGGGATTGAGTCTAAAGCACTGATGTTGGATATAGTTGTATTGTATGCATGGTAATGTACCAACTACCAACATTAAACAGGCACAGGCAGTTGTGTTAGATGGACACCCCTCCACCTTTTTCTATTATTATTATCATGGTTTTGAAAATCGGATTCGAAATGGAATTGTTTTAGCCACTGATTTTCGGGTCAAACGATCCAATCATCTAGTCCAAACCCACGTCAGATGGTTTTATGATCCAAAACTAGACTTCGACCTATGAGTTGTTCCTGGGTCAACCCGTCTAATGGTCCATTTCGGTCCAGTTTTTAAAACCATGTTTCTTATAGTTAAGTTGTTGCCCCTTCACCTAGAATAAAGTTTGGGGTGGAGAGAGGGGACTTTGGGAGAAAGCCTGCAGAAGTCAATATGTGTAATGGCATTCGAGGGGATTCCTCTCTTTATTGTGTGATATGTGGTAACAAAAATCGAGTCCGAATTTCCTGTTCACACAAACTCTGCCCACATCTACCCACACAACATCTCAGTCACACATGGAAAACATCTCATCCTCCTACATATTATTATGCAGGGGGAGATGTTCCCAATTCACAGGGATAGTGTGTTGTGGGTAGACGTGAGCAGGTGATCGGGAGT